CATCTGCTGCTGCTTTCTTAGGCACATTAGCAGGGAGCTGGATCAGAAGTGGACCATCCAGGACTGGAACCAGCACTCACATGGGATGTCAGCATTGCAGATGGTGGCTTAACCTGCTGCACCACAATGCCAGCCCTAGAAGTGGACTTTTGACAAAGACATTTGTATGGAAAGTACAACGTCAGGTAATGCTCTGAAAAGTCGGCCTCGTCCCAGATTCTGAATGCTGGAGAGGGGCTCCAGCATGGCACACAGACTTTTGGAGGTGCCTGTCACAACAGGTCACCTGTTACCTTCACGAACAACTGATTCCACAGCCATCACGATGGTCTTGGGTCCATGACTGTCATTTCTACTATACAGACCAGTACGGCCACCCTCTGAGCACCTAAGGAGTTGGGATGGCCAAAGTCTAAGGAAGCAGCACAACAGGTTAAGCTTCCACATGTGACACCGGCATCCCATAGGAGCCCCTGTGAGAGTTCTGGCCGCTCCACTTCCCATCGAGCTCCCTGTGAACACACCTGAGAAAGCAGTGGAAGATGGCTCAAGTGCTTGGGCCCCTGCACCCATGAGGGAGACCTGGATGGAGTTCTAGGCTCCTAGCTTCAACCTGGCCTAGCCCTGGCTGTTGTGGCCATTTGGGGAGTGCATCAGTGGATGGAAGATCTCTGTCTCTCTTTCTGCCTGTAACTCTGCCTTTCAAATGCAAAAATCTTTTTTTTTTTTTTAAGATGTATTTTATTTATTTGAAAGAGTTACAGAGAGAGGTAGAGAGACAGGGAGAGAGAGAGAGAGGTCTTCATCTGCTGGTTCACTCTCCATATGGCCACAACAGCTGGAGCTGAGCGGATTCGAAGCCAGGAGCTTCCTCTGGTCTCCCACTTTGCACAGGGGCCCAAGGACTTGGGCCATCCTCCACTGCTTTCCCAGGCACACTAGCAGGGAGCTGAATTGGAAATGGAGCAGCTGGGACTTACATTGGTGTCCTTATGGGATGCAGGTGCTGCAGGCTGGGGCTTTAACCAGCTGTGCCACAGCACTGGCCCCCATAAATCTTTAAAAACAAATGAACAAAGCCAACACTGTGACTTCAGCTGCCACTTGTCACTTAGAAGAAGAGTCTTCCTTACTCTGTGTGGGTCCTCTCACAGCATGTGCGGGAGGTCCTGGCAGGTTGGCCGTGACCCCCAGCCTCAGCAAGGCCCCCTGGCTTCTGTTCATCTTGGTGATGCAGTTGACAAGACTTGAGCCCAGCAGGTGCCTCCGGCCCCATCTCAGGTTGCTGTGAGAACCAGCATGGGCTTGTGATGCCCTTTTACATTTAGATGAGTTGGGTTAAGATCTTTAGCAATTTACTTATCGCTATATGGCCTTCCTAATTATTAAGAATTAACTGCACGCTATTTCCTCAAACAATACATTTTATCTAAATAGCTCCCAATTATGGACTGGTTAAGTTGTACCCAATTTTGTGTTACTGTCAAAATTGCTGCAAATAATATCTTTGTCAATAAAACTTATTGCTTCTGTTGGGTCATTTCCTCAGGAAATGGGGTAAGTTTTTACCACCTCTTATGGAAGACTAGGTGAATGTTGTGACAACTTATTTTTTTTTATATTAGAGGAAGACCAGAACTATGCTTTAGAAGGAAGTGCTTAAATATGCTGGGGTCGCAATCATGGCATAGTGAATAAAGCCACTGTCTGCAGTGCCAGCATCTCATATGGGTGCCAGGTTGAGTTCCAGCTCTCTGCTATGGCCTGGGAAAGTGGTAGATGGCCCAGGTCCTTGGGCCCCAGCACCCACATGGGAGACCCGGAAGAAGCTCCTGGCTCCTGGCTTTGGATCAGCGCAGCTCTGGCTGTTGCAGCCATCTGGGGAGTGAACCAGCGGATAGAAGACCCCCCGCCCTTCTCTCTCTGCTTCTGCCTCTCTGTGACTCTGCCTTTCAAATAAATAAAATAAAATAAAAAAATAAATAAAATAAAATATGCTACATCAAATCACCAAAATGTAAATGTTAAAAAGAATTAAGTTTATTCATAATAGCCCCCAAAGGACACAACCCATTGTCCACCAACTGATGAACACATTTTAAAATGTGGAATATCTATACAATGGATTACTATTCAGCCATAAAGAGGAAAGAAGTTACAGTACAAGCTATTTGAATGTTGGAAACATTGTGCCAAGTAAATGAAGTTAGACATAGAAGGCCACAGATAATATGAATCCATTTAAATGAAATGTCTAGAGTTTGCAAACCTGCAGAAAAGGAAAATAAGTAGTTATTGGTGGGGAGACTGGAAGGAGAAGGGAATGGAGAGTGATTATTGCAAATGAGTACAGGGTTTCTTTTTGGGATGAGGAGATTGTTCTGGAATTAGGTAGCATAATGGTTTGCACAACCTTGTGAATGTACTAAAAACCACTCAGTTTTAGGGTCAACTTAATTATATATGAATTATGTCAATAAGAAAGAAAGAGGCATTCATTGGAAAAAGCAAAGTGCAGAATAATATCTACAAGATGCCATTTTGGTGGAAGTCGTTTTTCAGTCTTTTGTGGCTGATATTCTGAGGCTTCCCCAGGATGTAGGTCAGATCTGCTCTCACTCCGCAGTACGTTCTGGCAGGACAGCACTTCCTTTCCCTTCTCCGGGGAGAGCACCTGCCATGTGCCAGACACTGATAGTGGGCGTTGATTTCTATGTAACATACCAACATAATGATTCCCATTTTTCAGGTAATAAAACCGACAGATCAGAGACGTTAGTGAGTTTCCAAGGTCAGACAGCCAGGACAGGAATCCAACTCAAGCCTGTCTAAGTCTAGAGAAGGTGAGTGAGTGGCTTGGGTGCTTGGAGTCTAATTCTCAGCTTCGTTTGTTCCATGGGGATTATCAGAGGCGTGGCGGCTGCTGTGCAGCAGGGAGCATTGCGTACAAGAATGTTGGTTTATGAAGTCACACCGAGACGTTGTTTATGGTCCTTTAGAGGACAGATGAAAGTGGACTTCAGAGAGTCATCCTGCCCCAGATAAGGCCCTTCTAGCTTGATGAGAATGTCTCAGTGGCTTCTGATTGGTCTCCTCAAGTTGCCTGAACATTCCACTGTCCCTCGCAAAGCTGTCCTTGTTGTTGTTTCTAACTAGGAAACCCTTCCCGCCCACCAGCTGTCAACAAACTCCTACTCACCTGTCAAAACCCAGCTCATAGGTCCCTTCTATTGTTTTTCCTTGATAACAGCAGTTACACATGCCCCAACTAGAGCCTTTACAAACATACTTGTACTATTAATACTAGTACTCAGTTAGTGAGCTCCCCCTGCGTGCCAGGCAGTTCTAAGTATTGATGTACTTTTAATTCTCATGGTAATTATGCAAGCAAAGCACATGACACTTCTTCCAGATGAGGAAACACCCCGGAGAGGTTAGGACATTTGTGCAGTCACACAACCAGGACATGAAGAAACAGGCCCTTCCGACTCCAAAGTTCATCCTCTCCCTGTTGCGTCACATCCCTGTCCTTGCACCAGTCACCTTCGATTGCAAATGCTGTTTGTCATTCTCCTTGCCTTCACCCTGCAAGCCCTACAAGGCACACGGGGGCTCTGATTCCAGGACTGCGACCCCACTGCCCAGGATGGGGTCTGTGCACACACGGCCAATCCTCAAAGCTTAATAGGAGTGAGTCTTTGTGTTTGCAGGGACCTATCTGGAAAAGTGAAGTGGTATGTTTGTCCTTACCCTGCCTTTGGGGCAGGCCTGCTATCTCCCCTGGAGAGGTGATAAAGGGGCAGGTCTTGCCTCCTTGAGGACTTCCAGATGTTTCCGGAGGCCTGAGAGCATTTCTGCTTGGGAGCTGCCTTGGCTCCCAGTTCCTGTGAGCTGCTGGGAATGCCACTTTCAAGGCCATATGGCTGTGAGTGACAGCAGCTGACTCCAGCCCGCTCTTTGGAAATTGCCCTGATGCATTAAGGCCAGAGGAGACCCTCGAAGGATGGAGGCCCCCATCTGGAAGCCTTGAGGGTTCACCCCCATGAAGGACTCATTTGAGGGTGAACCCTCAAGCTTAGCAGTCAGCTCTTGTTTTGAAACTGTCTCTACCACTTACTACATCCGTGGCCGTGGGGCAAGTTTCTCAACCTTTCTCAGCCTCAATTACTTCTTTTTTTTTTTTTTAAGATTTATTTATTTATTTGAAAGGCAGTTAGAGAGAGAGAGAGAGACAGAGACAGAGAAATCTTCCATTTGCTGGTTTATTCCTCAAGTGGCTGCAACGGCCAAACCTGGGCCACTCCGAAGCCAGGAGCCAGGAGCTTCTTCTGGGTCTCCTGTACTGCTTTCCCAGGTGCAATAGCAGGGAGCTGGATCAGAAGTGGAGCAGCTGATACTCAAACCGGTACCCATATGGGATGCCGGTGCTGCAGGAGGCAGCTTTACCCAGAGCCACAGCGCCGGCCCCAAATTATCTCATCTTTAACAGGGAGTGAATCTCTCCTTTTTGAGGTTATGGTTAAAAAGAGATAATGAATATAAAGCTCTTACCTCTAAGCTTAGCACAGCCCTGCATCCACCATCACCACTAGTGATGATAGCAGCAGTAATTACTCATAGTAGATGTTTGTTGTTTGCAGCTGGGAATCCATAGAGCTGGTAGTCTGGTGGAGGGCAGAACAGTGTTGTAGGAGGACCGGTCATTTGGGCAAGATGGATGTTTTTTTCCTGGTCCAGGACAAATCCTGCCTGGGAAAGTGATCTCCCATCCTTTGGGCGGGAGCGTGTGCTGTTTTAGAACCTAACTCTTGGGGTATCCATGGGGAGGTGGGGTCCTGGTCAAGGCTAGACTCCCACGTCTATTCCACATCCCTGAATTCCATTCAACAGACCATCAGTTCTCCATGCTGGTCACCTGACACAGGATGGCATAATGAGCAGTTGTTAAAAGAACTCATTATGTTTTAAAAATTAATTAAAATATCTGTTTTTTATTTCAGAGAGAGAGAGAGGGCTGTTTCAGTTTGTAACAGCTGAGGCTGGACCTGGCTGAAACTGGGAGCCTGGAACTCGTTCTGAGTCTCATGTGTGTGGCAAGGATCCAGCTCCTTGAGCCATTACCTGCTGGCTCCCAGGTATGTATTAGCAGGAAGCTGGAATCAAGGGCAGAGCTGGGGCACAAACACAGGCTCTCTGGTATGGAATGTGGGTGTCCAAACTGATGGCTTTACCACTAGTCTAAATATCCACCCCAAAATTATCTTTTGAAGAAGGTGAATAACAATTTTGTGTTATTTAAATATTAATGCCTAATATTTAATCAAAACATTTAAAAATATTTATTTATTTATTTGAAAGAGTTAGAGAGAGAAAGCAGGAGAGACAGAGAGAAAAATCTTCCATCCGATGATTCACTCCCCAAATGGCCACAATGGCTATAGCTGCACCAATCCAAAGCCAGGATCCAGGAGCTCCTGCACGTGGATGCAGGGCCCAACCACTTGGGCCATCTTTCATTTCTTTCCCAGGTGCATTAGCAGGGAGATGGATCATAAATGGAGCAGCCAACACCCCAACCCGTGCCCATATGGGATGCTGGCACCACAGGTGTTGGCTTTACCCACTGTGCCACAGCGCCAGCCCCTAATTTTAAAATATTTAAAAATAATTTAAATTAAAAATTTTAAAATAATAATTATAAAATATTTGAATGTATTAAATATTTAAAAGCTAGAATTTTCATATAAATTATTTTATTTACATTATTTAAACACAGAAAAGCAAAATGAACAGGGGCTTTATTTAGCTCTTTTTTTGTTTTTTTTTAAAGTACATTCTGGGCTTTTAAAAATATTTTATTTATTTATTTGAGAGGTAGAGTTACAAACAGTGAGAGAGAGAGAGAGAGAGAGAGAGAGAGGTCTTCCATCTGCTGGCTCACTCCTCAGTTGGCCACAACGGCCGGAGCTGAGCGGATCCGAAGCCGGGAGCCAGGATCTTCTTCCAGGTCTCCCGTGTGGGTGCAGGGGACCAAGTACTTGGGCCATCTTCTATTGCTTTCCCAGGCCACAGCACTGGCCCTTAATCTGTGTTTTTTTTTTTTTTTTTTAAGATTTGTTTTATGTGAAAGGCAGAGTTACAGAGAGAGAAAGAGAGGGAGAGAGCAATCTTCCATTCACTGGTTCACTCCCCAAGTGGCTGCAACGGCCAGACCTGGGCCAGTCCGAAGCCAGGAGCCAGGAGCTTCTTCCTGGTCTCTAACGTGGGTAGCAAGGGCCCAAGCACTTGGGCCATCTTTTACTGCTTTCTCAGGCTATAGCAGAGAGCCAGATCAGAAATGGAGCAGCCTGGTCTTGAGCTGGCGCCCATATGGGATGCTGGCATTGCAGGCGGTCGTTTTACCCACTAAGCCACAGTGCCGCCATGCCCCTCCCCCAACCCCCACCCCTCACCGTGTTTGTCATTTCCAAGCTTGTCCTAGTAAGTCCTCCAAAGGGATGGGCTAGAGTCTGTTTATTTCTCTGGTCATTTGGCACCTGGAGAATTCCCACTTTATGCTATTGTATATGATACTATCAAGCTTTATTAAAACAATCTTCCAGTCTGTGCAAGCATATCCTTAGGACAAATCACTAGATGTGGGCTGGGGGAGCCTAAGGATGGAACTGGGTTTTCTTGCTCTTGCTACATAAGGTCAGAGTATCCTGGAGAAAGACAAACAAACAACAGCAACAACAAACCTGCTCCCAGAGATTGTCCGTGCTCACAGACTCTGGTCTGCTGAGAAATACAGAAGCAGTGCCAATGAGATGACAGGGCACTCTTGGCTAAGCCAGGCAGCACTTGCTGGAAGGGGCTGGACTTTGTTTTCCATGGGAACATTCTCAACTGATATGTGTCCTCTGACTGTCAGTTTACTCAGGGCTACCCCACCCCTGCCTCAGCCACCTTGGCAGGAATTGTGCAGAGGCAGTTAACAGTGCTCGGAGCGCTCCAGAAGCTCCCATGAGTTTCCAAGAGTCAAATGCCCTGTGCCGGGCAGGAATGAGTGTTTCACCTTAGCAAGGCAGCAGAGATGGGGGAGGGAGCCCCACACCAACGAGGGCCCTGCATCAAACTGCTGATCCAGCAGGTGCCTGCCCAACCGGAGTGGCAGAATACTGACTACACATATTCATCTATCTATCTATCTGTCTGTCTGTCTATCTATCTATCTATCTATCTATCTATCTATCTATCTATCTCTCTATCTATGAGAGAGACACAGAGAGAGAACCTCCTATTTGCTGGTTCACCCCCTAAATGCTCAGTGGCCAGGCCTGGGCCAGGATCAAAGCAAGAGCTGGGAACTCAATCCAGGTCTCCACCTGAGTGGCAAGAATCCAATTACTTGAGCCATTACCACTGCCTCCCAGGGTCTGCATGAGCACAAACCTGGAGTCAGGAGCCGAAGCTAGATAATGAACCTGGGTGTTCTGATGTGGAACACAGGCATTTAACCTAAAAATCTGAAATCACACAATTTTATTTTTAAAGGTGATTGATTGGAAAGTCTATTCACGGGGTCTGGTGCTGTGGCGTAGTGAGTAAAGCCTCCACCTGCAGTGCTGGCATCCCATATGGATGCCAGTTCAAGTCTCAGCTGCTCCACTTCTGATCCAGCTCTCTGCTATGGCCTGGGAAAGCAGTAGAAGATGGCTCAAGTCCTTGCACCCCCCACCCATGTGGGAGACCTGGAAGAAGCTCCTGGCTCCTGGCCCCAACTGTTGCAGCCATCTGGGAAATGAATCATCGGATGGAAGACACCCCCCTCCTCTCTGCCTCTGCCTCTCTGTAGTGCTTCCTTTCAAATAAATAAATAAATAAATATTTTTTTTAAAAAAATCTATTCATTTATTTCATTTTTTAAAAAGACCTACTTATTTTATTTGAAAGAGTTTCACAGAGAAGAGAGGCAGAGAGGTCTTCCATCCGATGGAATCGAGCTGTGTTGATCTGAAGCCAGGAGCCAGGAGCCTCTTCTGGGTCTCCCATGCAGGTGCAGGGGCCCAAGGACTTGGGCCATCTTCTACTGCTTCCCCAGGCCATAGCAGGGAGCTGGATTGGAAGTGGAGCAGCTGGGATTCAAACCGGCGCCCATATGGGATGCCGGCGCTTCAGGCCAGGCCCACTGCCAGTGCTGGCTACTTATTTTATTTATTTTAAAGGGAGAGAGAGAGAAAGAATTTGAGAGAGAGAGAGAGAGAGAGAGAGAGAGAGAGAGAGAAGTATTCCATTTACTGGTTCATTCTCCAAATCCAAATGCCTACAACAGCCAGGGTGCCAGGGTTGGGCCAGGCGAAAGCCATCAGGGTCTCCTATGTGGGTGGCAGGGACCCAAGCACCTGAGCAGAAGCAGAAAATTGGATTGGAAGTGGAGCAGCTGGGGTTTGGTCCTAGGCACTCCAATATGGGATGCAGATGTTCCAAGTAGTGGCTTAACCTGCTGCCCCACAACACCTGCCCCCAACAATTTTATCTGCACTCCCTCAGCTCAGGACTTTGATTCTTGATACAGTACAGACTCCCAGGAGAGGGCTGTTTTATCCCAGGGTGAGTTATTTTTGATGCTGAGAGCTGGCCTGATTGGGGAAGAAGGTGGTGAGCTCCCATGAAGACCCTAAGAGCAAGGCAAGGAGCCCCTTCTGTGTTGCACCCAGAATCCTGACACCTCGGCTTCCTTCTTGGGTTGCCTCTGTCCTTTGAGACTCTTTGACAGGGAGCTGCAGACAAGTCCTCTGCGGCTGTTTGGCCTGGACAGAAGTCTGGGATGGATGCTGCCCTTTGGATCTGAGCTGCAGGTTCCAGCGGCGTTGTCCCAGGGACCCCTGCCCAGCCGCACACATGTGAGCACCCGGCCCTCACAGTTCTCAGCACAGCGGTGCTGTAATATCTGCTGTGCTGGGGCTCTGGCACTTGGGAAGTGGAACCGTCACCATGATCCATCTTCTGCTCAGGCCAGAGCCTCCAATCAGAGGCTTTATCTCCTTTCCTGCCGCCCCTCGCTTGCGGCACCCTGCACAGCTGGGCTTTTCTCTTCCAAGCTCATTCCTGTCTCAGAGTTTGCATTCACCACTCCGTCCCTGGATTGTCCCACGCCGGCCTCCTGGCTCTCGCGCAGTGAGCACCTCCTGTGAAAGGTCTTCCCAGCCACTCCACTGAACATGACATGCTGCCTGAGCCTTTTTGTTTAAAATTGTTGTTTATTTATCTCATTTATGTGAAAGGCAAAGAGACAGAGAAAGAGCAAGGCAGAGTGTGACCTCCCATCCACTGGTTCATTCTGCAAATGCCCACAATAGCTGAGGCTTGGCGAGGCCAAAGTCAGGATCCCAGAACTCAGTCTGGGTCTCCCGCATGAGTGGCAGGGATCCCAAATACTTGAGCCATCACCAGCTGTCTCCCCAACCCCACCCAGGGTGAGCAGCAGCAGGAAGCTGGACTGGGGAGTGAAGCCAGGACTCGAACCCAGGTCCTCTGCTAGCATCCCGAAACAGTAACTTCACTTTGTTAACCGCCTGCCCCCTACTTGTTTTCTATCTCACTGTCAGCCTTTGTTTTATGCTTAGTGCTATTTCCTGAAATTATCTTGTATATCCAGATAGTGTCCCTCTCGGTAATCAGAACCTTACCTCCCCTGGGATGGCGGCAGAGGCTGTCTGCTCTTTGCTCAGAGCTGAGAATGATGTCGGCACTCACGGGGGGCTTCCAGCCAAAGATTCCCAGGGGCCCTCATGTTTCTTGATTCAGCTTCATCATTTTCCTCCTAAGTGGGACACAGGAAGGTATTTCAAAAAGTGCATGGAAAAATAGGATGAAAAACAAAGTTTATTTTGATGCAAAAACTTTTGAACTGCTATGCGTGGTTTTTTCTGGATGCATGTCTCCCATGCACTTTCAGAAGCACCCTTGTGTATATTTCAGCTTGGCAAGAGAGAGAGCCAGGCAGGACTGGGCTGGGCTGGGCTGGGCTGGGCTGCTGATCAGGATTTCTGCCCTATAACAGCTTCCCTTGTGGGGTGTGTGATCTGGGATACCTCCTCCCAAGTCTTCAGAAGGAATGAACGTGTTGGATCTGTGGGACTCCAGGAAGTGAAGTTGGACCCAGTGGGCAGAAGTTCATAGAGACAGACTTCAGTTTAATAGAAAAAGAACCAGGGCCAGCGCTGTGGCATAGTAGGTAAAGCTGCTGCCTGCAGTGCCAGCATTCCATATGGATGCTGGTTCGAATCCCGGCTGCTCTACTTCCAATCCAGCTCTCTGTTAATGTGCCTGAGAAAGCAGTGTAAGATGGCCCAAGTCTTTGGACCCCTGCACCCACATGGGAGACCCAGAAGAAGCTCCAAACTCCTGGCTTTGGATCAGCCCAGCTTCAGCTGTTGTGGCCATTTGTGGGGTGAACCAGTGGATGGAAGACCTGTCCCTGCCTCTGCCTCTCTGTAACTCTGCCTTTCCAGTAAATAAATAACTTCTGGACAGAGCTGACCAGAGACAGGGTGAGGGCAGCTGCACTCCTGCCGTGTGTCCCATGACCCACCTGCTTCCCTCTGCCCCTGTGTGGCCTGCTCACCAATCTGCAGCTCACTGATCTCACTGAGCTCTGGTACTGTGTCCCTGCACAGAGCTGGGGATGCTTCATCACGGAGGGAACTAGGCTAAAAGGGGGGATGGTCTCCCTAGGCCATTTCATCTCCCATCTTAGGAGCTTGGCTTAGAGAAGTCAGTCTCTCTCTCTCTCTCTCTCTCTCTCTCTCCCTCTCTCTCTGTATTTTCACTTTGTTTGAAAGGCAGAGACAGAAAGAGATTTTCCATCTTCTGGTTCACTTCTCAAATGCCCTCAGCAGCCAGGGCTGGGCCAGACCGAGGCCAGGAGCCTGGAACTCCATTCTAGCTTCCCACATGGGTGGCAAGAACCCAAATACTTGAGCCACCACTGCTGCCTCCCAGGTTGCACATTCACAGGAAGCAGAAGCCAGGACTCGAACCAGGCACTCCAGTATGATGCACAGGCATCCCAAGTGGCTTCTTAACTGCTGTGCCAATTGCCCACCCCAAGAGCTGGTTTATCTCTGAGCCACACTCTGTGGACTGTAGGACCTCCAGGGAGGAGAGAGTGGCAGGCTGGGCTAAGCTGTTCATGGTGTGCTGTGGGTGAAGCTCGGTGACCCACAGTGCCAGTGCGCTGGCTGGCTGGTGACCACATCCGCCCACCTGCTGTTTGCTCAGTGCGGAAAGCCAATCATCTGAATCTGGAATGTGGCACCAGAAACAAAAAGGAGTTCCCGGCCAAGTTATCATGGAAGCTTAAATACATCCTTTCCTTCTTTTCTGGAAGATTGAGAGTGCTTGGATTAGCTCTTAAATGCTTAGGTTCTCTTCTGACTTGAACATTCTAGGATTCTTCTAGTGAATCTTGGACAGCAAAAAGAATCCTGCTCATGGCCAGGACTCGTGCCCGGACCCCAGCTCTTCAGCAGGTCATTTTTCTTGGTTGACAGCCTGGAAAAGAACCAAGACCTCTGACCTCTGTCATCAGTGGCTTACGCCTTCGCAGAGCGTCCGTGTTTATTCACAGCTCTTGCCGGGCAGACGACGGAAGTGTGTGATCTGTCAGTCGCCAGGGCCCCGAGATTGTCCATCATGAGAAAGATGGGCTGATTCTAGTCCAGAGGCTGCCTCACCAGCGCCCCTGACTGGTCTGCTCATCCAAAGGACCAGAGAGAAAATCTGCCTTTGGCAGTGTGGGGACTCTTTGGGTAACATACCAAAGACCTCTGTGTTTGTGGCAGCTCAGAGCAGGCCACCCTGGGGTCCTAAACCCAGAACAGGAAGTGACAGACACTTTTTATTCCACGGGGTGGATCTAAAAATAATGGTACAAGATGGATCCTGGAGCAGGATAAGTGAGAAAATCTTGAGGATTTTGTCCAAACTAACCAGGGGCAGGCCTTGCGGCACAGCAGGTTAAGCCGCTGTCTACAGTGCTGGCATCCCATATGGGCACCGGTTCAAGTCCTGGCTGCTCCACTTCCAATATAACTCCCTTCTAATGCACATGGGAAGATAGTAGAAGATGGCCCAAGTGCTTGGGCCCCTGCACCCATGTGGGAGATTCAGAAGAAGCTCCTGGCTCCTGGCTTTGGCTAGCCCAGTCCCAGCCATTGCAGCCATTTGAGGAGTACGCTGGAAGACTTCTCTCTCTGTCTCTCTCTCTCTCTCTGTAACTCTGCCTTTCAAATAAATAAAATAAATCTTAAGAAAACTCGCATGGGACCACCCAGGATATAAACCACATCTGCGTCTTCTGGCTGCATCCTCAGAAGCAGGGTGGAGAATGCTGTCACTCCCTGGACTAGGGCCTTGAAACCCGTGTCCTGGCAGGGACAGGAAAGAAGCTGTTTGGCCTGGACACCTGTGGCCTTGGGGGACATGGGCCATAGGCTTCCCATCCTGTGTGAGTCCTCCCTCCTGGAAGGCGCCACTCTTATCCAGGGTGGCATTTTGCTTTGGTGAGAGGTCCCAGGCAGACATTTAGGTCGCCGCCTGGTCTAGAGAAGCAGAACACCACCAGAATGTGAAGGCTGGGAAGGCCTGGGAGCCCCCCTTCCTCCTTCCTTCCATCCTAGACGCAGGGAAGCTGCAGACCAGGCTGCGGCAGGGACTCATGCAGAACCATGCCTTGCATCAGGGGCAGAGCTAGGACTGGAGCCCAAGCCTGCTGCTTCCCAGGGTCAGGGTCACCGCAGCCCATCCTTTCCCAGATTGCCTTTGTCCAGCAGGCCCCCAGGAAGCCACAATCCAGACCATAATCCAGAGATGCTGCTGAGAAAACCTTGGTATCTCACAGAGGGAAAAGGCAGTTATTTAATAATAACAGGACAGTACTTAACAGTTTGCAAAATGCCCTCCTCATGTCATTTCTCTTTCCACCCGGTGCCCTGCACTGGCCACATCAACTTCCTTCTTTCCCATACCCTACACCTTCCATGCTATCGTCAGCGCCTGCTCGCCTGCTGTCCCGCAGGCTGGCCCTTCAGCATGGTGAGCGAGTTAACCGTGGCCTTCACGGCCAAGCTGCATGAGCCCGGCTCTGCCATTGTGAGTGGGGTGACCCTGGGCAAGTCATGTAGTGGAGCCTAACTGTGCCTCTGTTTTCTTATTTGTAAAGTGGAGGTGATAATAGTTCCTGTCTCATGGGATTCAGTGATGGTGCCCATGAGTACCTAGCACATTGTTAGGCTTTACCAGGTATTAGCCATGCTACTAGATTGCTACTGTGCTATTATCTCAGAGTTCTGTTCCAGGACCCCCAAAAGGCCTTCTCTTCATTATTCCTGTTCTTCTTTCGAGACTCAGCTCTGGCTCCCCTGTGCTAGGAAGACAACTTTGGTCCTTTCCCCTCAGCAGAGTTAGATGTTCTCTAACATTTACTGTATGTATTAGTTATTGTTATTATTTATTTGAAGGGCAGACACACAGAGAAAGAGAGAGAGAGAGAGAGAGGACTTCCATATGCTGAGTCACTCTCCAGATCCCGCAACAGCTGATCCTCTGGGTCAGGCTGAAGCCAGGAGCTCAGAACTCAATCCAGGTCTCCAGTGTGGGTGGCAGGCACCCAAGTACTTGGGCTATCATCTGCTGCTTACCAGGGTGCTCATTAGCAGGATGCTCAATCAAAAGCGGAGTTGCCAGGACACAAGCCAGGCACTCTGCTATGGGATGTAGACGTCCCAAGTGGTGACTTAATCACTGCACCAGATGCCTGCTCCCCACGCACTTACTTAAATGCATTGCATTTCCCTATTCTGATCTGTTTCCCTGAGTAGACTGTGATCCTCATTCCACATTTACCCCAACACCAGCCATAGAATCAGAAGGCTATAGGTGCTTAGTTGATGTGTGTTGAATCGATGAATGAATGAACTAATCCAATAGCAGATCTCAGCAATCCCACTGTTAAAGCAGATCCTGCATCTGCCCCTAGACCAGGGCAAGTCAGCCTTCTCACTGCTCGCTGTGCTTCTGTCCTGCTGCCCTGTGGTCCACTTCGTCCTCTTGCCCGACACTCTCTGCTGACTTCCTATTGCTCTCAGAATAAAACCCAATCCTCTGGGGCAGGCGTTTGGCAGAGCAGTTAAAGCACTCTGCAGTGTTCATTTCGAATCCTGCTAATGCACATCCTGGGAGGCAGCAGACGATGGCTCAAGTACTTAGGTCCCTGCCACCCACACTGGAGACCTGGACTGAGTTCTGAGCCCCTGGTTTCAGCCTGGCCCAGAGGACTGGCTGTTGTAGGCATTTAGTGAGTGAACCATTGGATGAAAAGATCTCTCTCTGTCTCCCTCTCTTTCCCTCCTTCTCTCTCTCCCTTTCAAATAAAATGAATAGATAACTTACAATATAAAGCAAACAAAAAAGCTCTAGTCTTCTTATCTTACACTGCCTCCTTCACTTCTTGTGCATCACCTGTTCCCTCCTTCCTGGGCCTTTCCTACCTCAAAGTTGTACTTACTATTCCTTCTGGTTTTCCAGAGCTGGCTCCTTCTTTTGGTTTTGGCTGAATACCCAGACCTCCCTGCCCACCCTAAGGTGATATTACAACACCCTTTCTAATCACCCTTGTGGCATTTATCATACTCTGTTGGTAAGGTGATGATCCTACTTGCTATATGGGAAATCTTCAAAAAAGTTCCCAGAAAATGTGTATCATGAAAAAGCCATGCATAGACTTCAAAAGTTTTTTTTTTTTTTTTTTTTTTGACAGGTAGAGTTACAGACAATGAGAGAGAGAGACAGAGAGAAAGGTCTTCCTTCCGTTGGTTCACTCCCCAAATGGCTGCAATGGCCGGAGCTACGCCGATCCAAAGCCAGGAGCCAGGAGCTTCTTCCTGCTCTCCCATGCGGGTGCAGGGGCCCAAGCACTTGGGCCATCCTCCACTGCCCTCTCGGGCCACAGCAGAGAGCTGGACTGGAAGAGGGGCAACCGGGTCTAGAACCCGGCGCCCATATGGGATGCCGGCACCATAGGTGGAAGATTAACCTAGTGCGCCACCGCGCCGGCCCCTCAAATGTTTTTGTACCAAAGTAAATTTGTCTTTTAATTTCATTTGCCCACAAACTTTTTGAAATAACCTCATATTGTAAGCACTGGGCACACAATCCCTCTTTTTGTTGTCTTATTCATCAGGATAGCCCTAAATTGGGGCTTAATACATTTTTGCTGAATGAATGACTCCTAGCAAGACAGCAGGAAGATCAGGTAATACATGCTTATCTTACAGATGACAGAAATGAGGTTTTGAGAGGTTGACTTCAGTAACACAACTGGAAGTGGCCCACCGGCTTTTTGCACCTGATAGTAGTCTGGGCTGGGAACCTGGCTTGGCTGATTCACAGGCTAGTTCCCCAACAGGGGACCAGGTGGCAGAGATCCCAGTGTTCCCGCCTCTTAAAGAAGTAGTGCTGCCAGCACACGGCTAAAGATTACACCCGATGCCAAATTCCAGACTGCACTTGGGGCACTGCCCGCTGCCAGCAAACACCCGATGATCCTAAGAACAGTGTAGTGATTGAGACAGGGACTCAGACGCACGGGCCCACGAGGAGGCCTGATCTCCCAGGACCCTCTTCATTGGCTGTTCTAATTTGGGCCTGCTGGAATGAGCAAGATGCTGCTAGTTCCCATACACCAACATGGCCTAATTTGGAAGATTTCTTTCATTCCCAAGGCCCCCACGGCTGCCTGAGAGCAGACCCTGATGACTTGTCATTATTTTAAAAATCTGTCTTGGCCATTGATTGGAAGCCGGCAGCAGGGCACCATTTCCGTGATTCTGGGAGGAAAGTTCCTGGGGAGGGAAGCTGGTGACATAAAAGAGAGCCCGGGGCCAGATGTCTGAATGTACAAAGGCCCATGGGTGTCCAGCCAGTAGATTTAGGCCTCTTGCTGGCCCTCAGCCACCTTCTCGGTAAGGAATGATTTGGGTCTGATGGTGGCTCTGACCCTGGCTCTGTCAACATTTGCAGGATGAGCTCTTGTCAAAATGCTTTCTTCCTGTGGCTCTTGGTTTACCATCTGTACAAGGACAGGTTTGGAGGAGCTGATGCCTGTGTCTCCTTCTAGCTCTGATCTCCTTGCAGCCTTTTCAGGAATCATGTGCTCTTGTAAAACTGGGTTTCCCTGTCACCCCACCCTCAGAAGTCAGCATGAAATCAACATGGCGACTTCAAAATAGTTCAACAAAGGGCATCTTAGTTCTAAAGGCCTAGGGGTTTCTCAGGGGCCCCTGAGGGAGAAAGAGGAGTCAAGTGCCCACTCCTGCCAAGCACCCTCTTGGCCCTCAATGCTGCCCTCTGATAGGTACACACTCCAATGGAGGAGCCTCTTCAAGGGAGCTGAGGTCATGGACGTGAGAAGTATTGCTCCTCTGGCACCTAGAAGCTCTCAAGGACATTGTACCCCTGCCCCGCGAGCCTTAACTCTTTCTATGAGAAGACAGCTTAAGAAAATCAGGTATGTGTCAATGTCCTTTGAGTGTTTACTCCAGCCTTGGGAGCAGCACTCTGTGTACATTGTTTTGTTTAACCTTGAGCCCTGGGACATAGATGTTAAGATCTATCCACAAGAGGAAGAAATTGACACACAGAGTTAAAGTAAATTATCCAAGGTTACACAGCTAGAAAGATCAGGATAGAACCCAGCACTCTTTATTGTTAAACCACTGTCTTTCCTAAAAATGATAGCAATAAAAAAGCAAGCAAAGTTGAGGAAGTTACAGTGAGCAGTTGTGGAAATCACTCTGGGCACGAGGTCTAAATAAATGCCTACAGATCCCAGTTATTCCATTTATTGGCGTGGTGACCTTGGGCAAGGCATTGGACTATTTTGAGTGACAATATACTGGCCTATAAAGTGGGGATCATCACTGCTAGTTCACTGTCTAAGTTTAAAATTGACAATGTATGTGACATGTTTACAATCGAAGTGCTCGGTAAATGTTGGTGACTGTTGATATGATTAAAACAACTACTACAGTTACTCCTACCTTCCCTCCAGGGTTGCGGAGCTCAAATGAGAGAAGGGCTGGGAAAACTCTGCAGGCTATGCACCTGTCAGTAACCCCCGTATGACAATTACAGCAAACTAAGGGGAAGAGGTATTCATGAAGCTCGGACCTTATTCCTCCCTCAGATGGTTCAAAATCTTTGCTTTGCAGCCAACATTGATGACGAGCCAGGGTTTGACTTGGTGCCCACTGCGAATGACGTCCTTCAATAGAGCTCCAAGAACTGCAGCAAATGCTTTTCTGGGCTTATTTTAGCATCAGAGGGACTTTGAAACAAGGTTTGAACATTTAGCTTTGTCATTTGGGGACAGTGCTTTGCAACGACTGTGGATTTACAATTTCTTTCTTCCCTTCGTTGTAAGAAGACAGGAGCCAGGAGCCATGGGAGTAGGTCAAGGATGTGGTTGGTAGACATATCTCTAGGTCCAAAGAAGTTCCGTTGTCGGTTATTACTGATTTTGAGAGCAATGCTTACTTGTTATTTAAAAAATTTGAAAAATGCAGAAAAATATGAAGCAGAAAACATTTTCAATACTCATAATGTAGTCACTCAGAGACAAAGAATGTTAATGCTTTGGTGTTTTTCCTTTTTTTTTTTTTTTGACAGGCAGTATTAGACAGTGAGAGAGAGAGACAGAGAGAAAGGTCTTCCTTCCATTGGTTCAGCCTCCCAAATGGCCGCTACGGCCGAAGCTACGCCGATCTGAAGCCAGGAGTCAGGTGCTTCCACCTGGTCTCCCATGCGGGCGCAGGGGCCCAAGCACTTGGGCCATATTGTACTGCTTTTCCAGGCCATAGCAGAGAGCTGGTTTGAAGAGGAGCAGCCGGGACTATAACCAGCACCCATATGGGATGCCGGCGCCACGGGCGGAAGATTAACCTACTGTACCACAGCGCTGGCCCTTTCCTTTTGATCTTTAATTCTGTGCACGTATTATCATTTTACAACACTATGATCACATAGCAAAGTCTTATAAACTACTTTTTTTTTAAAGATTTTGTTTGTTTTATTTGAGAGAGTTACAGACAGTGAGAGGGAGAGACAGAGAGAAAGGTCTTCCTTCCATTGGTTCACCCCCAAAATGGCCACTAAGGTCGGAGCTGTGCTAATCCGAAACCAGGAGCCAGGACCTTCTTCCAGGTCTCCCATGTGGGTGCAGGGGCCCAAGAACTTGGGCCATCCTCAGTTGCTTTCTCAGGCCATAGCAGAGAGCTGGACTGGAAGTGGAGCAGCTGGACTAGAACCGGTGCCCATATGGGATGCCGGCACTGCAGGTGGAGGATTAACCTACTGTGCCACGGCGCCGGCTCCATAAACTACTTTTTCAAAATGTTTTATAACAAAAATTTTCTTTCTGCATATCATTTTTTAAATAGAGGAATAATATTGCAATGTAGAGATTTTATAGAGCACAAAGAACTTAAACCAATCCCTTATTGTTATCTGTATTGATTTTTCTAGTTTTCATTATTATATATAACATTCTGATGTACACTTTTTAAATTTTTTTAAAGATTTATTTATTTATTTATTTGAAATTCAGAGTTACGCAGAGGGAGGAGAGGCAGAGAGAGAGAGAGGTCTTCCATCCGATGGTTCACTCCCCAGCTGGCCGCAATGGCCAGAGCTGTGCCGATCCAAAGCCAGGAGCCAGGAGCTTCTTCCGGGTCTCCCACAGGGGGAAGGGGCCCAAGGATTTGAGCCATCTTCTACTGCTTTCCCAGGCCATAGAGAGAGCTGGATTGGAAGTGGAGCAGCTGGGTCTTGAATCGGCACCCTTAGGGGATGCCAGCGCTTCAGGCCAGGGTGTTAACCTGCTGCGCCATAGCACTGGCCCGATGAACACTTTTGTACATATTTACATATATTTTTCCCCTTGGGTGGATTCTTAAAAGTGAAATAATGAGTCAAAAGGTATAAACTCTCAAAGGCTTCACAAATAGGTTGTATCCCTTTGCGTTTTTGTAAACAGTGAGAGACATTCCCTCCCCAATAACAAGTATTACCAGTTTTGAAAGCTCTGATTCTGCTCAAACAAAGGTTAAAGAATGGCAATTCATTCTCTCCGTTTGCAGCTCTATGGTAATTTGTGTTGCATCTGCAGCACTTCATGTTTCTTAGTCATTTGTTTTTCCCTTTCTGTGAGTTGTCTGTAACTGTCCTTTGCTGGGCAGACTCTGTGAATAGAGGCCCCAATAATCCTATAGTTGTTTGCAGAAGATGCCAAACCTTGCATTTAGCCACATCTGATAGGAGGCCAGGGCCCAGCAGGATTAGAAATAGTCCATGTCAGCATTACTATTTCAATGAAATCAGACGGGGGAAAGTTTCCATGTTTTCCAAGTACTGGAATCTGGGAGATGAAGTTATTTTTGCCAAACCATGACTATCGTATTATTGTGTCTCCTTTTCTCTTTCCTTAAAAGCTGCTCTAGCAGGAGGGGTAAATTTGGGGTGTGTGTGTGCATCCTTTCTTTCAGTATGAGTTGATTCACATCTTACTACATGCAATGCATAGTGGCCGTGTTGGTAGACTGTGATCACAGACAAGAGCCTGAGCTTTGGCGTCGGGCAGATCTTGGGCAAGTTACTTAACCTCTTGGAGGCTGTGTCTTCTTTCAAGTGTGGGTGATAGCCCTGGTTTTTTGTTTTATGTTGTTTTCTTTTTTTTGTTTTCCCCCCACCCCCAGGAAACCTTTTATTTAAGGAATACAAAGCTCATGCATTTCTTAAGTACAGCTTTAGGAACATAGTGATTCTTCTCATTGTACCTGCCCTCCCCCGCCCCCAACCGCTCCCTCCCCATTCCCATTCTTATTTGTTACTAAGACCTATTTTCAATTAACTTTATACAACATATGATTAACTTTATACTAAGTAAAGAGTTCAACAAATTGTATGAAAAAACTTTCTTGGGGCTGGTGCCGTGGCTCAGCAGGTTAATCCTCTGCCTGTGGCATCGGCATCCCATGTGGGTGCTTGTTCTAGTCCCGGCTGCCCCTCTTCCAATCTGGCTCTCTGTTGTGGCCTGGGAAAGCAGTGGAAGATGGTCCAGGTCCTTGGGCCCCTGTACCCGCATGGTAGACCGGGAAGAAGCACCTGGCTCCTGGCTCCGGCTGTTGCTTCCAATTGGGGAGTGAACCAGCGGATGGAGGACCTCTTTCTCTCTCTCTGCCTCTCCTCTCTCTGTGTAACTCTGACTTTCAAATAAATAAATAAATAAATCTTAAAAAAAGAACTTTCTCAATAGTTGAGACAAGGGCTGTTCAAAGTCATTGCATCTCAGAGTTTCAATATCACTTCTATAGATTACTTTTTAGGAGCTCTACTAGTTATCACAGATCAGGGAGAACAGGTAGTATTTGCCCTTTTGGGAAGGGTTTATTTCACTATATATGATTTTTTTTTCCAGTTTCATCCATTTTGTTGCAAACAGCAAGTTTTTTTTAACTGCTGTGTAGTATTCCGTAGTGTACATATCCTATAATCTTCTTATCAGCTGATGGACATTTGGGTTGATTCCATATCTTAGCTATTATGAATTGAGCTGCAATAAACATGGGGCGGGCAGGTAACTTTCACATGCTGATTCATTTCCCTTGGGTAAATTCCCAGGAGTGGGATGGCTGGGTCAAATCGTAAGTCTGCATTCAGATGTCTGAGGCATCTCCATACTGCCTTCCACAGTGGCTATACCAGTTTATGTTAAGGAACCATTTTCCCCACACGCTCACCAGCATTGGTTGTTTGTTGATTTCCGTCTGAAAGCCATTCTAATGGGGATGAGGTGAAATCTCTTTGTGTTTTTGATCTGCATTTCCCTGACAGCTAGTGATCCTGAGCATTTTTTCATGTGTCTGTTGGTCATTTGGATTTCTTCTTTTGAAATATGCCTGTTTAAGTCCTTTGCCCATTTCTTAACTTGGATGTTTTGTTGTTGTTGAGTTTTCTGATCTCTTTATAAATTCTGGTTATTAATCCCTTATCAGTTGCATAGTTTGTAAATAATTTCTCTCATTCTGTTGGTTTGCTGAGTACTTCTTTTGTAGTGTAGAAGCTTCTCAAGTTGCCGTAATCTCACTTGTCAATTTTGGCTTCGATTGTCTGTGCCTCTGGGTTTTTTTTCCAAGAAATCTTTACCTATGCCAATGTCTTGCAGGGTTTCCCCAATGTTCTCTAATAATTTCATGGTATCAGGTTGTAGATTTAGGTCTTTGATCTATTTTGAGTTGATTTTTATGTAAGGTGCAAGGTAGAGATCTTGTTTCATACTTCTGCTTGTGGAGATCCAGTTTTCCCAGTACCATTTGTTAAAGAGACTGTCCTTGCTGCAGGGATTGATTTTAGCTCCTCTGTCAAAGATAAGTTGGTTGTAGATGTGTGGGTTGATTTCTGGATTTCTATTCTGTCCTATTGGTCTATCCATCTGTTTTTGTGCCAGTACCACGCTGTTTTGATTATAACTGCCCTGTAGTATGTTTTGAAATCTGGTATTGTGATGCCCTTGGTTTTGTTTTTGTTATATAAGATTGCTTTAGCTATTCTGGGTCTCCTGTGTTTCTATATGAATTTCAGCATCATTTTTTCTATATCTGAGAAGAATATCCTTGGTATTTTGATTGGTATCACATTGAATCTGTAAATTGCTTTTGGTAGTATGGACATTTAGATGATACTGATTCTTCCCATCCATGAACATGGAATCTTTTTCCATTTTTTTGTGTCTTCTTCTATTTCTTTCTTTAATGCTTTGTAATTCTCATTGGAGAGATCTTTGACATCCTTGATTAAATTTATTCCATGGTATTTGATTTTTTTGTAGCTATTGTGAATAGGATTGATTTTAGAAATTCTTTCTCAGCCATGGCATTGTTTGTGTATACAAAGGCTATTGATTTTTGTGTGTTGTTTTATATCCTGCCACTTTATCAAACTCTTTTATGAGTTCCAGTAGTCTTTTAGTGGAGCCTTTTGGATCCCCTAAATATAGAATCATGTCATCTGCAAATAGGGATTGTTTGACTTCCTCCTTCCCAATCCGTATCCCTTTGATTTCTTTTTCTTGTCTAATGGGATAGCCCTGCTTTTGAGAATAAATGCTTTAAGAAGAAAAAAATTCCTGGAACGTGAATGTCACATCAGAAGACTTCTTTTAGCAGAATAACCAATTCCTGAGCCACTTCTGCGTGTTTGACTCTGGGCTAGGTGATGAGTATACAAAGAAGAATCAGGCTGGGCCCTTTACATCATCTCTGTTGCCTGCAGGAGAAAGGCCAGGCTTCTTGTCTGCTCCAACTAGGCCTCCTCTTCTGTACCCCCTCATTAAGCCCAATGGCTCCAGGTATAATGGGTGGGTGGACAGCTGTCTTTGGATTCCTGGCCTTAGCTGCCGTTTGGGGCAATAGGAAGACTGCCAGTCAACATTCTGATACCCAGACCTTCACAGCTGTTATGTTTATTTTCTTTTTCCTCCTAACATTATATAATAAGCATTTTCCCTTTACAATTAAGGGTGCCTGCCTGAACCAGCTTGCCTTAGTTTGATTTCTGGCTCTATCACTTACTAAGTGACCTTGGACACAAGCTGTTTAACCTCTCTCTACCCTACTTTCTTTATCAGTAAAACATGGATAATAATATGCTATAGAGTGAATGTGTCCCCCAAAACTCCTTTGATGAAATCCAACTCCACATGTGATGGATGAGGAAGTGGGGCTTTTGGTAGGCGATTAGCTCATGAGGACAGTGTCCAGATAACCAGGATTAGGGTCCTTCTAAAAGAGACCTTTCTGCTATTTGAAGATGTAGGGGAAAGGCAGCCTTCTGTGAACCAGAAAGTGGCCCCTAACCAGAAACTAAATCTACCAGTGCCTTGATTTTGATCTTCTCCACACCCAGGACTGTAAGAAATAAATTTCTGTTACTTCTAAGCCAACCAGCCTATGGTACTTTGTTACGCAGCCTGGCAGACTAAGTAAGGTATAATAGTACCTAACTTATGGAATTGTTCTTAGGATTAAACAAAACAACCCGTGTGTAGCTCTTGGCACATATAGTGCACAGCACATAGTAAGACCTCAGTTATCTGCTAGTAATATTTGCCATACTGTCTCTGTTGCCTCCTTCACAATGACTTCATATGATCAAATCAAACAGATATGCTACCTTTCTGTGATACTGGCTACTTAAGGAGTTGCCAATTTTTAAACTCAAAGTAACATGTTATTCCTAAGAAATTTTTAAAAATCATCTTGCTGTTGAAAGATGAAGGCAGAGCAATGAATTTAAGAACTCAGTGTTGAAATGCATCAGCGTTAATACACCTAAGGTAGCTTGCAAAATTATTCAACATTCCCTGTACACAGTATGGACTCATCATCCCCCCGTAGAAGCCCCGGCTTGGGTGATGCTCACCGGAGGCAGAGGGCCAGCCCGGATCCCTCAGCATGGTCTTGGTGTTCTTTGCTCTGGGATTCTCCTGGCAGAGGAGCTGTGTCAGCTTTTCTTCTCTACTGCCAGGCAATCTCTGATACAGCACAGCGTCAGGCCGACCCAGCATTTTTCAGATATCGTCTGGAAATATCAGGTAGGGCAACTCTCAGCCCACGTCACCTGACAGGGAAGTTATGGGACAGAGGTTTCTGCTCTGACCCTAGAGCCAACAAGAATGGCATAATAGAAATGGCAGCCTACACAGATCGAACACTGGCTAGCTCTTTTAGGATGCTCTCTTCCGTCCCCAGTGGAATGAAAGAGCATGTATTGGCCGGATTTCATGGGCAAGGAAACTGAGGCTCAGAGAGGTGAAAGATTTCCTCCAAGGTCACGTGGTTGACAGTCACCACCCAGCTCTGTCTGACTCCAATGACATTGGTTTTTCCCATGGGTTCCACAGGATCTCTTTTCAACTCAATTCATTTTAACCAGCATGGATGAGTGCTCAGAACAGAGAGACAGCCTGATGGGTCAGACAGATGTATCAGTCACAAGTTCTAGTAGGAGGCTGATGCAAGCCTGTGAGAAGCCGGCAGATCAGTGTATCCCATTGTACTTCCGAAAGCCATCTTTAATCCTTTTAGGAAGAGGCAGGGAAGAGGTGGATTGATGGATCAGGGCTGCACTCAATGAATAAGCAGAGGGCAACAAGGAATCGGGGAAGGAGAGACTAGTTCCCATTCTGCAATCCCAGAATAGCTCTCGGAGGATGTGGCATTTGGGTTGGGGTGTGAAGGGTCAGGAGGAATGAGCAAAAGGATATGGGGAGGGGGCATGATCTGGCCACCCCGCTCCCCTTCTCAGAAAAGTAAAAACAGAATCTTGGTTGATCGTTGCTAAACATTGGCCTAGCAACCAGAACACCCGCACACCCCTCCCCTTACATCCTCAGACAGACCTGTCAAGATACACCCATAGATAACCACACATGCACAAACCACAGAAAACACACACCAGGACACACGCCCAGATTATTAAGAACAAAATATTTAAAGGAGTTAGAAGCTCCCACTCAGACACACAGCCTCACCAACATGTTTGTGCTTTTACGCACAAGCACATACATACCCTCCCCCACCCACTACTCACGCAAGCAAATAAATGCATGCTTTCATGAACTGCACAGGTTCACACACAAATCTCATCCTGCCGGTCTGGTTAGAGACCAGTGACTAATGGAAAACAACCATCTCAGGGGGAAGCCAGGGCTGGGCTGGCGGTGGGGCTGCGATTAAGCCCCGTCAGATGTCAAATCCGCCCTGCAGGGCTGCAGCGCCTGACCCAGCTCTGGGTCCCCGGCGGATGGTGCGAGGAGGCTGCGCGCCCGATTTCCAGCTTCGTCCCGGGTTCAGTGTCACAGGGTCAAGCTCTTCGATCAGCCCCACCTGGATCGTAGCAGCAGGCAGGAGACTCTGGGGATCCAGCA